GTCTCTTTGATGATTTGATCCAAATTTGGTATATCTTTGAGTGAGAACTGTTGCGAACCTCTTTCGAGTGGCTGTCGATGTGAGGCATCGGGTTTCCAACCAATCAAATAAAATACTTGAAAAGTGGCCGGAATTGTGCCGTCAGTATTGCCGTATAGGGAGTGATAGATAGCGGCCGAAGACAACAGTGAATCTCTATGTAAACTACTTTTCCTCTGCAATAATGCATTGTTTTCTGCCATTCCTTTCAAATCATGCATTAATTCAAAAATTGTCGGATAATTCACTTTTATCTCATCCGTGTCTAAAGTAATCAATGAGAATCCGGCGCGACTCAGGAGTGATCCCATGTCTTGAGCGGTGATGAATGGCGAGACGTGTAGACCAAAGCCTCCCTCGCGTTCCTGTTCTGCCATTTGCAGAGAGGATCGCAACTCGAAGAGAGTCTGTCCGCCAAACATCGCGCCAATGAAAACGCCGTCCTTTTTAAGGCATCGCAAGATCTGGAAGAAGAAAGTCTTTCAATCAAATCCATTCAAAGCAAACAAATCCATTGATTACTTGCGCGAAAGCTTTGGGCAAATTGTTAATCCAATGAAGACTTAAACTACTTATGACTAAATCAATGGTATTGTCTCTAAATGGTAGTCCTTCCTCCTCATCAATCACAACATTTATGACATTAATTCCTTCGATCGGTTCCATTCTCTCCAGACATTTATGAGAAGAATCGCAACAAATGAGAGAATCAATGATTTCCTATCAAAATAGCGCTTAAATTATTAGTTATTCAGTTTTGTATACAAAAGTTGTGCGAAAGTATTCTAACGTTTGACAACTGTTTGCCAATTAATCCCTTATAAGAGCCGAAATCGACGACAAGTGGAAAGTGTCTCTTAATGTCGTAAACTCTGTCCACAACTCGGTATGCGATCTCATCCTTCAGGTAATCATACTTTTGGTTGTCTTTCAAATCCATTGAAATCTCTCTTTGAAGTCGTTTTGTCTTCGAGTCAAAGATATTATAGGAACTGATGGTTGAAAAATGTCTGCCATTTGGTCTCAATTTAACCAAAATTGACAAATAATTCATTGCATAAAAGAGTCAAACAATCAATTCATTACTTTTGCAAAAACTTTTGGCACAAAAACGTAAACAAAGATTAAACTTAAAAATGTGAAAATACTTGTTGTAAACATTGCTTTCATATGACGTGTGTTTTGTTGAGCGATGTTTTGATCCCTTTTGACGCAAACACTCAGTCATTATAGCATTGAATTGATTGTCAAAAAAGGTTACGTTTCTAACAATGAGTGAAAACATATGTGATGTAAACATTTGAGGCTTTTTGCCATAAAAGTGAAAACGAGAGACAATTAAATTGTTTTGAATTTTCAAATAAATGCCAATTTATAATATGTATTAATATTTGAGTCATTGGTTGTAAATATAGTGCCAATCAGTGTCTCAGACAATGGTTTACATCAATTCACGTAAGTTTTCATACTTTTGGACACAAATTAATTGAATTTAATGCTAATTTTGAACGATATATGCTTTGAATAGGGGGTGAAGTGATGGACAACCAATCGTTGAGTTGGTCCACACCGTGGCGTCTGGTGTTAAGTGTCCTCAACTTCTTCTACTTTTTGTCAGTATTTCAAATCAATTTGATTTCAATTATCCATTAATTAATCGATGGATTGTTTCAATAGCTTTCAAACGCTGTTTCCTTTTGGTTCCCGTTTTGGTGAACCGACAAACTCTCGCAATAACGGCCGCAGAGGGGGAGGCGGTGGTGGAGGAGGTGGTGGCGGATGGGGTGGAGGCGGCGGTCGACCCAATTCTAATATAAGGACATTAGGGCCGTCCCGTTGCGGACCCAATGCCCCGCCCGCTGGCGGCGGATGAGGTTAAGCACTGAGTGGTCGGTTAGTTGTCATCAATTGGTTATGTTTTGCATATTTTATTAAATACTTGTTTTAATCGAAATACAGATTCAAAGGACCACTCATTAGCTGAACGTCTGAACCGATTGTGACTAAAATGACGACAATTTTCGAAAAGTTTCATCACTTGAAAACTGTCTGAAGATATAATCAGTTCTCGTTGTAATCAAAATGTTTTTTATTTAAAATAAATTTGTTATTTAATATGTATTGAAATCTTTGAGTTATTTCTAACTTAAGTGCAAACCTATGCGCAAAAGAGAAGTTTTTTATTCAAATTCATTCATAATTTCTATAATTAATTTGAACAAAGTTTTAGTCAAACTTTAAACTCATTGTATTTGTAATGTATTGAATGAGTGATAATTAGTCGTACATTAAAATACAGTACTAATCGTCTCATATATACTGTATATCTTATAAACTCTCAACTCTTGTAAACTCATTCATAACACGTTTAAAACGATTTCAAAACGTATGCATTGATTGAGTGAACGAAGAGTTAAGTCATCGTTAAATACTTTACCTGTGTTTCAGTCATTCACTTCCTATGCTATTAATATTCACTTCAATCGACGCATAAATACAATGACATCGATATAAAGGGAGCAAAACTATACAACTATTGCTCACGAATTCAATGGTATTTCATAAACGGGTTATTTATTTCACACTTATTTCGTACGTCTTTTTTGAATGAGTCATAAAAAGTG